AATAATAATAATTTTATTGAAGTAAAACTTAAACATAAAATAATATAAATACATAAGAGAAGTAGAGAAAGTCTTGTTTTCTATAACAGGCGAAGCACCAGTAAATGCTGTATTAAAGCATAAATCTAAATTACATAAAAAAAAATAGCATATGCCAAGAAAAAATCTGTATGTATAGATATTAATTATCAAATTAAAGAAGATATTAGTTGTAAGTACGAAGAGAGAGGAAAGAGAAAGAAGAGCTTTGATTTTATTCAATTTCATTAAATCTCATTACTTACGGGTCGCTATCCTAATGTAAGTTAACATTCTAAGAGTAGAGGTACTGTACACTATACACAATTAAGTTACAGAATATTTTGCCACAAATGAATGAAAAGTGTAATTCTTGATGGCAACGTCCCCATCGACGTTTGACCGTTCACTGAAAGCAGCTGCAGTTCTCGATCCTTGTTCTTACAGCCATTCTATAAAATCTTCGGGTGATAACACCACTCAGGCCGCTAGATAAAGACCAAGATCGACTTGAATGACCTATTATTTATTATGGGTCTGTGGGAGCAATTGCTATCCTGGTTGCTCGTCGAAGATCGTACCGGATGAGATACGATGAAAAATGTGTAACGGAAAAGTTCTGCTATATTACTTTCACATCCTTTGCAGTCTTTTTCAGTGCAAGCTGGTCTATGATTTTCCAATATATTCGTATAAATTATTTATTTTATTCAGATAGCATTAGTTACTATTTTTAAACTTTTTGTATATAAAAATGTAAAAATCAGTAGATAACAAAAAATTTTGCATACATTTTTCTATTTTATTTGTTAGAAAAATTTGAAAATACGTAAATATATTTAAATTTAAGATATAATATTTTTTATAAATAAATTTAGAGATTACTTGTTTTTATTAGACATTAATATTTTATAATTGATGTTATTCATTGATAAACAAATATAATATAAATTAATAATCTATATTTAATATAACATTCATACTAATTATTTTTTATAAATTTTAATATTGATGATAAGACGGAAGAAATACTTTATATCAAGTTACATCCAGGAAATGGAAGTTACTTGTAACAAAATTACAGCTACAAGTTATTTTTGGTAACTATACTGGTAACTTTCTTTCACTAATAACTGTAACGGTAACAAAATTATATTTTTTTGGTAACGGTAATGAATTTTACAGTTACTTTTATCGTTACTTTGTACACGATTGGACACAAAATAATTAGACACAAGCCACTCGTAACGTTTAAGACTAAAAAGCTTCTAGACCTGTCCGCTGTGATTGATTTTAAAAAACGAAAAAGTAACAAAAAGTTACTTTCTTAAGTAACGCTAACTGTAACGAGTTACTTTTAAAAATCGGTAACTAGTAACGGTAACTTGTTACTTTTTCTACACGGTAAGGAGTAATTGTTACTTTTAAAAAGTAATTTCTCATTCCCTGGTTACATCCCTTACAGCACAAAAGCAATATTGCATGTTGCAGCATTGTTGCTGCAACTTTTGTGCTGTAGGGGATCATAAAAAATAAAAAATATATATATATATAAAATTCTTTAATAAATAATATGCAAATTAATTAATTGGCATTGATGTAATTGATGCTATAAGTACTATCGTAACATTTTGAAATTTATGAGAATGTTTTACAATTCTTCCTAATATTGTGTTTAATCTTTCTATCAGTTGAGAATATAGGTCATGCGTCTGATTATCGCGTTCACATTTTTATCAAGTTTAAATACCATATAAGCGATATATAGCGTATTAACTGGCAAATATGCAGATTTAGTTAATTTTGGTTAAATTGATCATTTTATAAAAAATTTTTTTTCATAAAAAAATTTTTTTTTGTACATTTATGTATCGTAATTAATTGAAAATTAACAAAGATATCTTAATAACACTAGCCTATGAGTTTGCACTTTAAGCTTGAACAAAATTCCTGCAATTTTTTAAATGTCGAATATGATGTATTGAGAATGGTTACTTGACTATATTATAATATAGACTTAATCAGAAAATTCTGATTTGTTTTTCAACCAGATTATCAATAAGTGTAACCAGAATTTTTTTCTATTGCGATGTCAAATTGTTTTATTAGTTACATTTTTGAAAAAAATCACGTCAAAGAGAGACTAAAAACACTGATTTTGAAGATTTTCATGACGTTGCAACACTAGCAGCAAATCTTTTTCTAAATTTTGTCAATGCCTTGCGAATGTATTACTTTTTAGTTTTCAAATGTATTTTGTTTTATTTTGGATTTTTCTAAACTTAATTTAAAAATTAGAAATAAATATAGAAGTATGTGCAAAAACAGCATAAAAAGGTCGCAATTAAAGTGTTGTGTAATTGTCATATAAAAACAGTCGATAAATTTGTCGGCAAAGATATTACTCAATTATAATGACTTTACAATATGGCAATTTCTTCATACATATATGAAATATCAAACACAGGATATAGTCTTGCAATCAACGTGTTCATCCTGTGTTCACGAGAAATGTGAAAGATTCTTGTAATCAAATTTAACAACAAGAATGTATTTCGTAAAAATACTTATACCCTGGTTTCATAATAAACATTTTGTCATATCTTTGTGTGATAAATTCATTCATACCCAATACATTTCTCTAGAACTGAAGCTAATTAAATAAGATTAAAAAAATATATAAATATATAAGAAACAAGTGAATTTTCTTGATTTTATTTTTAATTTTGGGAATATGTGACACAATAAGCAAAATAAATAATAATTTCATTTTGAGTACTAAAATAATTAAGAAATTGTATAAATTGTATAAATACCTTAAGGTATTTGTAAAAAATATTTTATTCTGTAAATATTTTATAATTTAAACCATTGATATATGTATTAAACATTTATAACTCACATTTACATACGTACGTTATAAACATTTATAACTTATATGTACGTACATTATAACTTACAAATTGTCCTATTTTCTTTAGTGATTATAAAATTTTTCTTTTTAATGCAATAAAAACATTTATTATATTTTACATAGACGCTTTTTATTTACAGATTTGCTATTTGCGGTTGACATTTTTGCAACTATATTTTTTTAATTTGCAACAATTATCTTAATATTCATGAATATAAATTATTGTATATGCATACGATTGCATTTTAATTATTATTGATGCCTTTTTTTCGAAAAAGAAAAATTTTTTTAAAAACTGCATATATTTCACGAAATAAACATAACAATATTAATGTAGATTAATTAAGACATTTTTTTATCGATAATATTCTGTAATAATATTTTATTGTAATTTTTAATTAAAATAATTAAAAAGAAAGGAAATAATTTGAGAAACTTTAAATAATATATATTATATACATATATTAAATATTTAATTTCGATATGTATATATATAATACTTAAATACATATGTATAATATACTTAAGTAAAGTTTTATCATAATTAAAGTTTTGTTGAACCTTCGACAACTCATCTTTCTTATGAATTTTATTGCATTCTGCATTAACATAATTAATTGTTACATACTTCTGTTATTGTATTATTTTAATGTAATTTGTTAAAATTTCGGACATTTTATGCTTATCTGTAACTTTCGGAGACTTTTAGAAAGAATCTCACTCTAAAGATCAAAATCTCACTTTTAAAATTTTAAGCAAGTCTTTCTTAAAATTGGCTCAATTTTCATTCTTTAAGGTGATTCTGATCCAAAAAATTTAGCCTGATGATTTAAATTATTATCTGAGTACGCATACAAATAATTAATCGTACACGCTAAATATTAAATATTACAAAAATAACAATGTATTTATATAACATTCAAAGTATTTATATAACATTCAAAAAGCAGCTTTATTCATTCATTCATTTATAAAGTCTGTTTTTTTTAGTTTATTAATTAAAGTTAAATTTTTGCACCAGTTCATCTTTTTTCTTTTCCTTTCAAGAGGAAAGAAAAAGAAGAAAGATGAACTGATTCAAAAATTCAGCCAAAAAGGACAGGCCTATAGTCGTAATCATAATGGAATGATCCGATCCACCATGGTCGTAATAGTCATTTTTCTCGATCGAATTATTCTGTTGATAATTTCATTTGACTTAATCCAACTAGAAATTAATTAACTTAAAATTTAAATTTAATCGTGTTTATCTAGTCTATTTAACAAATATTAATTAAACTCAATATTTTAATTACATTTAATATTTTAGAAATTTATATACCTACTGGATATCAGAAAATGTAAACATTATAACCTGTTGATTAAATGCAGTCTCATATATTGTTTATGTCGCTTATTAATTCAGGTTAGCTCATTTTTTTTAATTAATTAAGGTTTTATTAAATCAAAATGGTAGAAAGTTACATAACTGTACATTTAATTAATTATATTTTCTAAAAATTTATTAAGAATTATATAAAACGAAAATATGGAGCTTGAGAAGGAAGCAGCATTTGATATGAACAAAGAGAAAGCAAAATTATTCAAGACAAAAATAAAGCAGCTTGCTGAATATAATGAGATAGTTTCGGCCGAGACTATCAATGCGATCGGAGATGTTACGAAAGATGTTACGAAAGCTATGACCAAGGATGATGCACCGAGCAGCGACGAGTTCGATGAGGATCTAGAAGAAGAATATCGGAACTTGAATAACATGCTCGATTTACCGAACGATACTTACTCTCTTACTAAAATTACAGCGGAGTTACCATTGTGTGTCAAGTATGGTGTTCGTTCCGGCCTCATTCACTCGAACATGCCGTATTTCTCACCGTTATCTAGAGGTTATCAGGTAATCACAATCGCGATTAATTGATGATGCAAACTTTATTTAAGAAATGTTTCTTAACGTTTTTTCATAGAAGAATTGTTTGCTTTTATCCATTTTTCAAGGAATTAGCGAATTGTTTGTGTTGCATTCTATACACTCTTTTTGATGTAATTAATTTGATAATTAAAAAAATTCCAATATTAAAACAATTATTTTTTAAATATAAATATTATTAAACGTTGCTTTGCAGTTTCTCATTTCACAGCTCTAATAACAGGGTGGCGCCATAGCGATTGCAGCTTTTGCCACGACCGGAATTCACAAATCTCGCTATTGGAACGAAGCGATAATCGATCAAATTGTCGAGGACGGCGACACTTTTTATTGTGAGTCCTACAAAGACGTGAACACGGACGATCGCCGGACAATGACCATCCTCGACTTGAAAAGGATTCTTCTTCTTCAGAAAAAGTTTAATGTGGAAGTTAAGATTGAGGATCCAGTATACGCTGGGAAGTTTCGTTCGCGCAATCCGATAGAGCTTCATCTGGCAAAAGCTTTAGAACTATTTTTTGAGCGACACAATGCCGGGATCCTGACATCACCGGTCCTCAATATAGCGATCTGGAAGAATTCGAAGTATTACTATATATTTGATGGTCAGGCGCGACGAGAAAGCGGCAATCCAGCAGTCGATAGAGTCAGTGGATCAGCCAAACTGTTTCTCGTGAAAGACTTGATAGGATTACTGTTTATCATTCTTGAGAAGAGTAACGTGCAAAACGAATCCTTCGTAATTTATCCTATATTCATCAACAATGTCGAAATGATTTTACCAGAAGATGCCGAGGAGGCCGCGAAGATAGTTGAAAAGCCGCGAAGAAGACCGAGCGGTTATAAAATTTATGAAAAATATCGAGCTATCGTACAGGGTTCTTATCATCTAACGCATCCCGCCATCCCGGAAGCTCTGCGAGGTAAAGGACATCTGATTATAGCTATGGCAGCCTTGATATATTCTCGACTGATTAATGCCAACAAGTGGACGACCGCTTTAATCAATCTGATTTTTAATCAGGCCAATATTTATCTAATTGATCTGGTCAGAGTTCTGGAGAAGAAATTCGACAATGAATTTGAACTTTGTTTGGATGATTTAATGAGCGATATTATTCTCGGAGTATATTCCGCCAAGGTAAAGGTAGATGCGAATGTAATATCGAGTCAAACGCAGAAGAATCTTATTGAGATTGGTATAAAAGAGTTCTTTGAGACGCAAGAACTCGGAATACTTGAGATCAAGAAAATCTTTTACGCGATCTGGAAGGATGATGACTCGTATTACTTCTTTAATCCATTTGCTTGTGACGATGAGGGTTTCAGGATAGATTACAGTGATACAGAACGCACACATGATACTACCAGAGATGTTGCTTGCGTTACCATGAATAATACCGTAAATGACGTGGTGGAGATAGTGCTAGAGAATATTGGCAATGAGGAAAGCGATCCTTTCTTAATACACGGAGTCAAGGTGCTTTATGTCAAGACTGGAGTGACGCCAAGTGGGCCGTTCGAAAAAGTAATTTATCGAGAGAGTGGTACAAACCGTAGACCGCGAATGCCATCCCCGATACCAATGGATACGACAAAAATTGATTTGATTGATGTGACACCACGCTTGCGACCAGAGTTTAAGGCAGATGTGTCTATTCAATATCCGGAGCTTATGCAGGATATAGATCAATACATGATGACGGTTGATGAACCAGTAACTTTTATAATTGCCCAAGAAAAAGCTAAGAAAATAAAGAAAATAGAAGAAGAGGAAGAGGAGGAAGAGGAGGAGGAGGAGGAGGAGGAGGAGGAGGAGGAGAAGGAGGAGAAAGAAAAGAAGGAAGAGAAAGAAAAAGAGGAAGAGAAAGAAAAGGAGGAAGAGAAAGAAAAGGAGGAAAAAGAAAAAAAAGAAAAAGAAAAAGAAGAGGAGGAGGAGGAAGAAGAAATAGAAGTAGATGTTATCAAAGGATATGACCTAATAAACAATCACTGTCTTAATGTTCGCGGTACCAAGACTTGTATGGATATCACGTATAATCTGCGATCACAAGGTAGACAAGGATTAATAATCGCTTTGACTGCGTTAGCATATAGAAAGTTAAAGAATCCGATGCGCTGGCGATGTATAGACGTAAATCAAATCCTTAACGTAGGCAACAAAGCTTACGAAGAAGTTATAACGTGGATTCAACAAGGTCGACCAAAAATAAAAGAAGTGGAAGAAAAGAAAGAAGAAGAGGAAGAGGAGGAGGAAGAAGAGGAAGAAGAAGAGGTCGAAGAAGAAGAGGAAGAAGAGGAAGAAGAAGAGGAAAAAGAAGAAGAAGAAGAAGAAGAAGAAGAAGCTGTTGTTCGGAAAGTAGCACGTGCTCCGAGTCATTTGGATATCTCTCTCTTACCTCCTATATTAAAACTAGCTGAGAACAACGTTTTTTTTAAAACAAGGATGGACGTTGCTACTGGCGATGCAAATCCTTTGGCTAATCTCGCGGAGGCTCTCGAGCGTTATTTTGAACGATATACTGAAATGATATTGGAAAACAATAGATTGATGTATGCCATTTGGAAGGAGGATGGAAAATTCTTCCTCTTTAATCCTTATGGTAGCGATCAAGAGGGATGGCGTTTTTGGCAATATTCAGCTGGCTTCAATGTAACCGATCGTTTCAATGAGTTGATCAAACTGCTTTATGGCATCTTAGAATACAACAATTCGCGTTTCTCACTTCATTTTGTAGCTGTGGACGCTATAGAGCCAGGAAAGTACAAGTCGTCTGTGGAAATCGTAATACCGGATGAGAAAACAGAAAAATTTCAAACAAAGTTTCTTCCAATTACTGATGATGATTTACTAGAACTTGAAGAAAAGAAACTGGATGTTGATGTAGAAGTGATAACGGAATTTGTTGATAAAAAGGATACAGTAGAGGAGGAAGAAGAAGAGGAAGAGGAAGAAGAAGAAGAGGAGGAGGAAGAGAAGGAGGAGGAGGAGGAAGAGGAAGAGGAAGAGGAAGAGGAAGAGGAGGAAGAGGAAGAGGAAAAAGAAAAAGATAAAGTGGAAGAAAAAGAATTAGATGAATTTCTGAAAGAAGATCCTACGTTATTAGTCGAGGAATCCGTGCAGCCTGATGCACCTTATCGCCTAAACTTGGCTCTCTTGACTTCCACAGTGAAGATCCAAGATCCGACTGAAGAAGAGTTAAAAAGCTTACCTGAAGAGGTAATAATGGAAAAGATGAAGTACGATCATCCACCGCCGTACGTGATGCCGCCAAGGGGAACTCTTCGCGTTTTGCTGGAAGCAAAATTAGCCAACAAGTCGATCCCATCTCTAGTATCGAGATTCTCGATTGACTCGAGATTGGAAATTAAGAAGGGTGATGTTCCTGTGGACTCTACATTAGCCACGATCGTGCCATTGCTTCGGGACACGAAACCTTCAAAGATGATCAAACTATCTCTCAGGAAGTACTTGTATTCGAGATTGCCGCCTATCCGTATAATGCCTTTAAGAGCTATCGACGAGAGTTACATTCAGGACAAAGAAATTGATAAAGCGATCGACGATCTTGAGCGAGAAAAGCTGAAGAAAAGGGAAGAAGATAAGACGCTAGGGAAATTACCGAAAGTATCTTATGTGAGATTAGAAATGATACCACGTGGACCGATAATTAAGACGCCCGTTTTAGTGATAAAGCATCTAACATATCCTGATGAGCGAAAGAGAGCGTTGAAAACTGAGGAAATAGCACCTACTATCACCGATGTGGAAAAACTTCTATTCAAGTTAAAATTTCTGAAATTTCAACTTGATATGCCTCTACAGGTTAATTCATTTTTTAATAATTATAAAAATATAATAGAGAAGAATATATAATAATTAAAGAATATACATATAT